GAAAACTTAGAAAGATGAAGAACTAGAATTCATACCTTCGAGGGACTCGAGATGACGAAGAGAAAGCACTTCATTGGACCCCAAGCATTAAAGTTGTTGACCTAAGAGACATAGAAATGAATGGTCATAGTGAAGCCAAATCTCATTGGCATCTAACTTAATTCACAGCAACAACTAGTTACCAAGTTCACCCTTGCCTTGCAGACAGCAGTGACAGCCAATGTATCTCGTCAACAAATTGCTAGAGGGTATCTGGTTCATTGTGGCATTGAACTACCACGACCCAAACTATTATCTTTCAACTTTCCACTTATAAGAATATCATAGGTCGCATCATCAGGCTTAAGACCTTTGTCAAGCATCTCATCATGCAACCTAAATGCCTCTTGCAAATTTCCCTCCTTGAAGTATCCAGCAATTAGTGTATTATAAATCAGAACACTAGGAGTCATACTCTTTTTACACATCTCCTCTAAGACCTTGTGTGCATTCTCAACCTGACCTTTATTGGAAAGACCATGTACAAGAACAGTATATGTGATATCATCAGGCATTATACCCTTTCCAAGCATCTCAGTAAACAAATCAGACGCCAGATCTATTTTTCCATCCTTCAAAAGCCCATCAATCAATGTGGTGTATGTTTCCAGATCACATGGAACACCTTCATTGATCATCTTATCACGCAAGACTAGTGCTGCTTCCATATTATTTACATTTCTAAACCCACTCATCATGCTATTATAAACAAATAGGTTAGGAGAGATACCAACTTGAAGGATTTCATCAAAAAGTTCAGAAGCACTTTTCATGTCTCTTCTTTTGCAAAATCCGTCTATAAGAACAGCATATGCAATGACATCTAACTTAATTTCTTTATTTCTCATCTCCTTTAGCAGTTTTAGAGCTAGATTAATGTTATTGCTTTTGCATAACCCATCAATCAAAGTTGTGTAAGTGACAACATCTGGGGAAATACCACTATTGCACATCTCTCTATAAACAGCCAAAGCTGAGCTGACATCACCCTCCTTCAAAAATCCATCGATTAGACTATTGTAAGGCATGCATGTTGGAATGAGGTCTCCTCCTTCCACAATCTTTTTAAGTAAATCTTTTGCCTCTGATGTTTTGCCAACCTTAGACATACCACTGATTACAGTATTGAATGTGTAGTCAGTAGGGGAAATTCCTGAAGAGACCATTTGATCAAACATGTTCTCAGCTTTATCAGCGTCACCTTTTCTAAAATACCCGTCAATCAAAATGCTATATGTTACAACATTAGCATTCAAATGTCTTTCTGGCAACTGAGAGAACAAATCCAATGCTTTGTCCATATTCCCATTTCTGCAATTTCCGAGAATAATATTGTTGTATGAAGTTATAGTAGGTAAAATTCCATTAGCAACCATCTTATCCCATGTGTTTTGAGCTTTATCCATTTGACCCTTCTTACACGACCATGCTATTATACTATTGTAAACGAAAACATTGGCCGTCCCTGAATTTATTGCCCCATCAAACACATTCATTGCTTCATCTAACAAGTTAACACTCAAAAATCCCTTTATCAACAAATTTTCAACATAAGCATTAGACTTAATACCTGCAAGTTTCATTTGCCTGTAAACTAGTTCTGCTTTTTCAACATTCCCATTTTTACAGCAACCTTCTATTAAAACTGCATATGTCACCTTGTTCGGAGTGAGTCCATACTCGACCAGTTTGTCAAACAAATCCAAAGCACTTGATAAGTTCCCCTGCAGATGATACCCTTTCATCAAACTTGTTGCAACCACCAAGTTCATCAGATGGCCATTACTAAGCATTTCATCCTTGAGCTTCAATGCCTTGACCATATTCCCTTGTTTCACACAAGCTGAAATTATGTTTGTATATATTCTCTCAGAGGGAACCCAACCCCCGCATTTCATCTCCTCCAACAACTTCAATGCTAAATTTAGATTCTGCTCCTTACAAGCAACATAAACCCAACAGCTATACAATCCTGCATCAAACTTAATCCCACTCATCTTAGCCTCCTCTAAAAGCTTCACAGCCTCCTTTATTTTCCCTTCTCTGAGACAAGCTGCCATCAAAATATGAACAGTCCGACAATCATAATGAGTTCCTCTCGACACTATATCAGTATACAAATCTCCTGCTACTCCAACCATGTCCTGCCTCACCAATTTCTTTAAAAGAGTGTTCATAATTGGTATCCACAACATTATATCATGTTCCAACATCCCATTGAAACAATCAATAGCATCATTCAATCGATTAGCTTTCACACAACTACTTATCAAGAAGTTGAAAATCTTAGGATTTAACTCAAAATCAAAAGTCTTACCACACTTCACTAGACCATTAAAAATAATGGTAGCAGACGGACCGGAGTCACTAGAAGCGTAATAATCAAGCAAACGTCGAGCTTTATGCTGATGCATTGCAGAATTCACTAATATGTGAAGCAGAACAAAGAATGGGTCAGATTTAGAATGTAGAAAACCCCTTTGGAGTCTAGCAGTTTGGAAGTACCTATAAGCTGAATCAGGGTCATCTCTGTGACTGAGAAGAACATCAACGACATGATTCTTGGTGAACTTACCATCTTCCGAATTGGGTCTGCCACAAGAATGGTCAGTATCAAGAGAATTGGTTGTTGAGTCTGGAGGTGGAGGTGGAGGTGGAGGTGGAGGTTGAGGAGTTTTTGGTTGTTGAATTAGTGAAGATGAGGTTGAAGAAATGCATAAATGGCGTCTGCAATAGAGGATTAGCCATGGAGGAATCTGCGAAGAAGAAGGGAGTAAAGCTTTCATTTTTAGCTAGTTTGCCAACGCTAAGACCCCTACAAGTCAGAAGCACGATAAACCCTAAATCCCAAAAAATGGTGTCCTTTTGCTCCCTTTTACAAAATCGGGTCATCGACTTATCTAGGTCGTTGAATGTTTCATTATATAACAATAAATTTAATAATAGGTTAAAAGTAAAATTTTAGAACAATTAAAACAAACATTAGTCCTTCGGGATGACTCAGTTAATTTGGAGGGTGGTTATCCACCCGGGATCAATCCCGCTCAGTGTCTTTTGAGTCGAACCTGACTCATAGGGCTTGCCTAGTGCGGTTTACATTCCTTATGTGATTTGCATGCTATTACACAGTAGGGGTTTATCCAGTACGCACAAAGTGCTTACCCGAAGCTATAACATCAGTGAGTTATCCCGGGGTTTAAAAATAAAATAAAATTATATTTACGCAACATAATACAAGACAATAGATAACAATCATCCAATTCACAACATGCTGTTAAGGGGTCATTTGGTATGATAAACAAGTATAAATTGTTTTGTGATAAAAAATTTGAAGTGTCTTATACTTGTTTGATTATTAATTTTGGGATAAATTATATTAAGGGTCCGTTTGGCTATGCGATATGGTATCATGATATGGAATCATGAGATGAAATTGAAGTTTTGTTTGAACATGCGTATGAAATTTTTGTGTTGTATATTTTTTCATAAACATAAAAATTTCATAAGTTGTAAACTATTAAAATAGTTCCAATTGTTTATTCAATTTTATCAAATAAACAAAAATTTATAAAATCGCATAATAAATTATTACAAACCTATTTGTTCTTCACTTAAAAAACTGTTTCATCTAACTTTAATTTAATAAAAAAAATTGAACATAAATTGTAGTGTACTAGTCTTTAATATAATCATCCCACATAGTACATACAATTTCCTCATGTTGAACTTGCATTTCTCGATCATGTGACCGAGAAGACGAACCAACATTGTTACTTTGAGCCATTTGTTGGTCAATATCATCCGCAACTATATTTTCATACTCAGAGACTATAAATATTTCATCACTTTAACAATCGGTTGGTGTGAGTTAAAGTGACTATATGTTGGTGAGAATAATAAATTTTATGTCAGTGAGAATAATAATTTTTAAAAAGTAATGATGTGATTATAAATTTTATTTACATATGAAATAAATGGTTAGTAGATATAAATGTGGGGTTGTTTTAACAAAATATAAACTTGTGGATCAATTTTTGTATTAAAATATCTCAAATCATGATATGGAATTACCATATAATTTCATATCATGTTTTTTGGAGAATATGGAATCACATCTCATGATATTGAATGGAATTAGTGTAAAATCACATGTCCAAACGCTGATTCCATCTCATGATACCATATCGTGATATGGCATCGCATGGCCAAACGCCTACTAAGATTAGACCATGTTTAAATGGATCGATGAGAGTGTGTATGTTTTCTTTCTTAAAAAAATCAACGACAACCCAACTAAATCTGTCTAGTTTCAGCATTTCTCTAGTAGTGTTATTAGTAATGAATAAGAGTCTTCTTTTTACTCGTATTGAAGATGAATTCTTTTTACCCGTTGAATTAAAAATTAGAAATCTAGTTTGAGTTAAATCCAGATAGCTTGGATTAAAAAAAAAGTGTTGTTATTTAATTAATTGATTGTTTAAAAAAAGTGAACATACATTTGTCGGTTATTTTTCATCCTAAAATTAGAGAAACTCTCAAAATAATTATTGATTTTTTTTAAAAAAATTGAAGTTCATCCGTTAGTTATTAATTTATTTATTTTAAACGAAAACTAACAGACAAATGTCAATTTTTAAAATGAAAAACTATAATTGAAGAATATAATTAAAAACAAACAAAATCATAAAATTAATATTTTGTGTTTAAGTGGTACATGAAAAATACAGTTAAAACGTCTAAATGGAATAAGGGTAAAATAAAGTGTCAAAATGAAAAATAAGTACAAGTTAGAGTTAGAGGGGTTGTGTATTTGTTAGGCCTTTTAACAACCATCCAAAAGTTGCAGTAATAAGGACCAAAACAGATGAATTCTAAAACTTAAAGGACACAATTGAGTTAAAAACTCTTTAACAATTACAGAGCATTGCCCGCCGACGGCAGTTTGCTTGCGCCGGGACAAATACTACAAAGCTGCGAATCCCTTTCAGTTTTACTATATTGTTGGCTATAGCCAGTTGATGGAGTCGGAAGTTTCTAGAAATCCATGGCGAGTGCTGGAGTTCTACAGTGGAATTGGTGGCTTGCGGTATTCTCTGCTTAAAGCCGCCGTCAACGCCACTGTTGTGGAAGCTTTCGACATAAACGACGTCGCTAATGACGTTTACCAGCACAACTTCGGTCACCGGCCTTTTCAGGTGTTTGAGAAAAAAAATCACCACATAATTGCTTTGTTTAACAATTAATTTACTTTTACTGATTCTCGCCCATTGTCGAAATTGTACTCAGTCTCGTTTTATGATGCTAAGTTTGGTACATTAGTTTAGCTAGTGTAAATTTAGTGGAGAAGATATCATATCAAAGCTGGAAATTTGAAAATTTATTGAATTTTAAGTGTTGAAAGTTTGTATAGAAGTGTTTATTAGTGAAATGGTATTCTACATTTTGAACATATCAAATTGTGAAGAATTTCATGTAAATTAGGATTTTGGGAGTAGCTTTTCCAGTCTTTATTCTGTCGATGAAAACTCGAAGGAGAAAATACAGAATCTTGTCGGGGTATTCAGATACAAGATTATTCAGTTTGTTGGACTTGAATGGAGTAATGTTTTCATTCTAAGACCAATAAGCATTGTTCAGTAATAAAACATATATAGTTGTGGATATAATAATATTTTTGCTTGTCTCTGCAGTTGAAAATTTGAATTATTCAGTATTTATTGAAGGAACATGTGGCATACCTAAGCTTTTTAGGTTCCTTTTCTTTTATACATAGTAAGTAGAGAAAAAATTGTATGAAGAGAAGTAAAAGTGAGTTTTTTACCATGCATGAAATGTTTACTTTTTTAGTCTCACATGGAAAAAATATTGTGGACTCTCAGTTTGAAATGGAGGGAGCATTTTACTCTATGAATGTTATACAAATGTTACTGATAATTTATACTTGTCAAAAAGAATTTCACTGAGAATTTGCTTATCCATTGGTAGTTCAAATGTTTTTATAATACTTAACTAGTATTGATAAAGTTTATATATTTGGGTGACAATAGGGTAACATTCAGACTCTGAATGCCGCTGATCTTGACAGCTACAATGCTGATGCTTGGTTACTTTCTCCTCCTTGTCAGCCATATACTCGACAAGGTGATGAATTGCATTCCCCCAGTTTTTTATAATCGTGGTGCCCAGGCCAGCAACCGTGATCCCCCATTTCACTTTTCTTTCTTCTTCTTCTTATGGCAATATTAAATGAAACCTTTTTGTCACATTTTTGTGTCAGGACTCCAGAAAGGTTCTAGTGATGCACGTGCATCATCATTTCTTAAAATTCTGGAACTTGTACCACAGTTATTACAGCCTCCATCGTATCTTTTTGTGGAAAATGTTGTAGGATTTGAGGTTTGTGTCTTTCCCAATCCATGCTTCATTCTACCACATATGTTTTTCCTTATTTTATCCAGCTGTCTTATGCTATATTGGGGCGGATGGTCATCTTGGAATATATATAAAGCCTTTTTCCTTCATTGCAGACTTCTGATACCCATGCGATATTGGTCGATATATTGGAAAAGAATAATTTTGTTACACAAGAATTTATTTTGAGTCCACTGCAATTTGGACTGCCATATTCTCGGCCTCGTTATTATTGCTTGGTATGTCTCTATGTCTTCCTCTTTGGATTTTTATCAATAAAAAGGACTAGTGTTTATCTTCATCACATGTATGTTTTCATTCATTGCGCATGTTCTGGACTTCTTTTATTTTTTAAATAGTTGTCTATCCGTGATGTTGTTAATATTTGAATTACGCTTATTAATTGATGTGTTGAAATGAAATGAGCTGAGTAGAACGGAATAGTAACAAATAACTTCATATACCTAACCCAACTAGTTTTTGATTGATGTATAGTCAATTGTTTGATGGATTACACTTATATGATTGACGAGAAATGATTGAGATGCATTATGGGAACTGACTGAAATTTCCTCAATAAAGACGAAGTCTTTTGTGGGGAAAGATCACTGAGGAGCACAAAGAAAACAATTAAACAAATTGGGAGAACTTGGTCATTTCTCCTCTTTGGCTTATAAAGCTAACCAGCATGTTTTTTTAATAAAAGTTCTTCTATTTTTTCCAGATAATGGGAAAGGATAGGTAGTTTTACCTACTGATTGTTGTCGATTCTTCTCAACAACTAAATTTAACATATTGAAACTTTTAAGTTACATCTTTCACAACCTAAAGTTCATTGTGCTTAAGCAAACATGTTGTGCAGAGTAAAGTATATCGTTTGATTTGATTACTAAGTGTCGAAGTCAAGGTTAATATTGGGCAGAGACGAGCACAGATAAGAAAGCTTGGTCAAATGTTTAACATCTAGTAACTAACATGGTTCCTCATAAACCTCTGAATGACATTCAGTACACGATAATTTTCTGTTAACTGCTTTTTCAGTTACCTTTTTTTTAATATGCTTGAATAATCATTACAAGTAATCTTACATTTTAGTATACAGTTGGATGCTTCATTTATAAAAAACTTGGGTCACATAGTTGACTAACATTTTAAAGGTAAAAATGCAGTACTGTTTTATTTTTAGGCCACACATAGCTTGGTTTACCTTGTTGTAGCCCTTGATCTGTTCTAAAGTAATTAATTGTTTTGAGTTTCCCTCAAAGATTTGGTGTGGTGGTAAGAGGGCAACGTGTAATGTATAGGTTATAGGTGAATGTCAAGGGTTCAAACGTTGTGACAGACGAAAGCCTTTAAGCAGAGAAGAGTAGAGAAATGGCCCATTATCCATTTTGAGTTTTGAACCATGCAAACCTTGTGAATTTTTTGTTAATAAGAAAATGTAAGTGTCTTGAGTTATCCTTATGTTAGTCCATTGTTCTTACGTGTTATGTTCCTTAAACCCATAGGCAACAAACAGTTATTTAGTGTTTTGTTTGTCCCAACGCATACTTTCCTTTTTAGTTTGTCTCAAAAAGAATATCATACTTCCTTATTTAGAAATCATTTGACTATAAACTTCCATTTTACTCTTGATGAGACAATTTATAGCCACACAAATGTCTGACTTTTTCTAGACCACAAGTTTCAAGAGTTTGTCTTTCTTTCTTAACCTCTGTGCCCAATCATCGCCACATAAATTGGGACGAAAGGAGTATTGGAAAAGTGTTGGTGACTTTATGGACAGTCTTATAGATTGCAGAAGACCTGCTTGAGTTGGAAACTAAATAATCAACACTTGTCATTCTTAACATCATGGGAGTAAACTGGGTAATGCCAAGGACCTCAAAGGAGCTACTGAGGCTGGCTCTTCAATGGGATGGGAAAGGCAAAAGTGCAAACCTGGAACTCAATCCCTGCCACTATTTTGTGGACCATTTGGAAAGAAAGGAATGCAAGAGTTTTTGAAAGCAAAATTGAATCTGTAATTAGCATGAAGTACAGATGTATCTCCTTCACCTTTTTTGGGTATAACATGGCTAATTGCAAATGTTATAAGATGCCATGTTAGGTTGCTCCTTACACTTGCAGCCGTGATGAGCTGCTCTCTCTGTATGTTTCTTTAAAGCACTTTCTTGTTGCTGTATTTGCAATGCAGTAACCTTTAATAATCAAAACAAATTGTTAAAGACTAAATAGACATGGGAGTTCAGTAAATTTAGGATGCAAATGTGGCTTATTGGCGATCAAAATTCATTTCATAATTAGTTCATTCCTTGTGTATGTAATGTGTAAATTATAATTTATTGAGAATAACTAGTTTATTACTCAAAGAGAACAATGATATAAATACATGGAGAGAATAAGCTAACTATGGTAACTAAATTTTCTAATCCCTAAGAATTAGCTCTATTATCTATCTATATTATTATACAGATTCTGTAACACTCCCCCTCAAGCTAGAACATAGATATTGATCATGCCCAGCTTGTTACAAAGGTAATCAACTCGAGTTCCATTCAACGCTTTTGTAAACAAATCAACTAGTTGCTCTCCTGTCTTCACGTAGCCAGTGGAAATCAAGTTCTCCTAATCTTCTCACGAATCAAATGACAATCAACCTCAATATGTTTAGGTTCTTTCGTGATACACTGGATTTGAGGCAATATGAAAAGCAGCTTGATTATCACACCAAAGTTTTGTTGGGGTATGATGCTTTAACCCAATTTCAGATAAAAGATGATATATCCACATAATCTCACATGTAGACTGTGACATAGCTCTATACCCAGATTCTGCACTGGATCAAGATACAACACCTTGCTTCTTACTCCTCCATGATACTAGGTTGCCTCCAACAAAAACACAATTGCCTGCAGTAGATTTTCTATCAATCTTGGATCCAACCCAGTCAGCATCTGCAAAACACTCAATACGAGTATGACCGTGATTACTATACAATATGCCAAGTCCAGGAGCTCCTTTCACGTAACAACGGATCTATTCCAAAGCTTCCCAATGTTTGACCGTAGGTGCACTCATGAACTGGCTAACAACACTTACCGCAAAAGCAATATCCGGACGAGTCACAATAAGGTAGTTTAACTTCCCAACCAACCTTCTATATCTCTCTGGATCATCAAAAGGATCACCATCATCTTTCATAAGGTGCACATTGGGAACCATTGGAGTACTACAGGGTTTGGCTGCTAACTTTCCAGTATCTGCAAGCAAGTCAAGAATATACTTTCTCTGAGACAGAAAAATTCCCTCGTTGCTTCTGTTTACTTCTACTCCCAAAAAGTATTTCAACAGACCCAAGTCCTTTGTATGAAACCTAGTATGCAAGAAAATTTTGAGGGAAAAGATTCCCACATAACCACTTCCTGTGATGACAATGTCATCAACATATACAACAAGGAGGATAGTGCCAAATGTTGATTGCCGGTAAAAGACTGAGTGATCACATTTGCTCATTTTCATCCCAAAATTCTGAACTACCTCACTAAACTTGCCAAACCTCGGGGACTCTGTTTCAATCCATGCAAGGACTTCTTCAAATGACAGACTTTCCCATACTCCCCCTGAGCAATAAAACCAGGTGGTTGCTCCATATACACTTCTTCTTGAAGATCACGATGGAGGAATGCATTCTTGATATCTAACTGATGTAAAGGCCAATTCTCGCAAGCAACTAAAGAAATGAACAAACGGACAGATGTGAGTTTGGCAACCGGGGAGAATGTGTCTGAATAATCTACCCCATATGTTTGAGCATACCCTTTAGCTACAAGTCTAGCTTTAAGTCTCGCTATAGATCCATCTGGATTAACTTTAACTGGGAAGACCCATTTACATCCCACCAATTTTTTTCCCTTGGGTAAATCCCACGTGTGGTTTTCCTCTAAGGCATGTATTTCATCAAGCATTACATCAGACCACCCAGGATGATTCAAGGCCTCTTTCACTGTTTTGGGTACATAAATAGAGTCTAGAGAAGCAATTAAAGATCTAGACGTAAAGGATAAGTGGCCATAGGAAACAAAATTAGTAATGGAATGTGAGGATTTGCAACTACATGTACCTTTGCGAAGAGCAATTGGGAGGTCAAGATCTTGTGGAGGATCAGAAGAATGAGAATCTGATGACAAAGGAATTGGTGTAGGACATGTATCATTAGCCTCTCGCCTCCTCGAGTAAACTTGAACAATTGGCGGTCTTGCCACATCAGATGAAGAAGGAGCTTCTGAAACAATAGTCGATTGGTCCTCAATAGAAGAACTGAGAGATGGAAGGACAACTTCTGATTCTTTTGTCAAAACACGGATGACCTGATAGACTAGCCACTCATCTTCCTCCCCCTGACTTGTAGAAATTGGAGGCGCATAGAAGAATGGTGTAGTCTCTGAAAATACCACATTTGTTGACACCAAATATTTGCCAAGTTCGACAGAATAACACCGATACCTCTTTTGGAGGCGAAAATAGCCCAGAAACACACACTTTAATGCCTTGGGATCCAACTTGGTAACAAATGGTCGAACATCTCGAACATAGCATGTGCTTCCAAATATTTTAGGTTCTACCGGAAATAGTGACTTGTTTGAAAACATAACATTGTAGGGCACATTACTAGCAAGCACAATAGATGGCATGCGATTAATCAGAAAACAAGTTGTAGAGACCGTATCTGCCCAAAATTGTTTAGGAACCTTCATTCGGAACAAAAGTGTTCGAGCTGTCTCAAGTAAGTGTCTATTCTTCCTCTCAGGAACTCCATTTTGAGAAGGTGTATCGACACATGAAGATTGATGGAGAATACCATGTTGTCTCATATACGACTGAAATAATTCCGACATATATTCTTTAGCATTGTCACTCCTCAGAATACGTACTGAAGCATTGAATTGTGTCTTGACTTCAACACAGAAGGCACAAAAGTGAGTAAATACTTCCGAGCGACTCTTCATAAAATAAATCCAAGTCATCCAAGAAAAATCATCCACAAAAGTAACAAAGTACTTATTCCCAGTTTTGGAAACAACAGGACACGGTCCCCAAACATCAGAATGAACTAACTCAAAAGGTGACTCAGCTCGTTTATTAACCCTTGGACTTAATGAGTTGCGATGATGTTTTGCAAATCGACATGACTCACATTCTAATGAAGAAATATTTTGGAATTGAGGACACAACTTCTTTAATAGAGGTAGAGTGTCCCAATCGACAATGTGCTTCAAATGGAGACACAACACTAGAGCAGGCAACAAACCGAGGCTCCCATTCATCAAGGATGTAGAGATCGTCAGATACATGTCCTTTACCAATAACTTGATTCGTCTTAAGATCACGAAACAAACAATGATCAGGAAAGAACGAAATATAACAATTAAGGTCTCTGGTAACTTTGCTAACAAAAATCAAATTAAAGGCCAACTTTGGTAGACTTAATATAGATGACAGAGTAATAGAAGAGGTTGGTTTAACCGTCCCATATCCAACACTGTTGCAAGTTGATCCATCAGCTACGGTAACCGGAGAGGGTTATTTGTGTGCTTGAAAGCAAGAAAAAAATATTAGGATTACCTGTCATGTGATTTGTGGCACCTGAATCAATCACCCATTTATTTGAAGAGGTGATAAGACATGTTTTATTTGATTCAACAAAGGAATTAACTGAAGTGGATTCCTTCGAGATTTTCTGGTATTGAGAGAATTTAGCAAACTCCTCCGCTGAAATTAGGACCATTTTGTCAGATAATGGACTACAAGCACCAACTACTTTAGACCTTTGAATTCTCTGATTATAGTCGGTCATTTTCCCAACAAGTCCAACCAGAAATCAGACAATTCCCAAGATAGACAATAACCTATTTTGGAACAATAAACAAAGTAATTGTTCTTCCCCACACTAATTCCACTCAAGGCTAGCTATCCAACTAATCAGAGACCCAAAAATAACTCCTGATAAATCAGAAAATCATCAAATAAAGATCCAAGTAAAAGTGTTGATAAAAGAGCAAAACCTGATGATGCTACAGCAAAATCCCAATGCTAAAATTGTAAGACACGAGCGAAATCGTACCGTCAAATATTAGCAGAAATCGCTAGAAAAAGGATGTCAACATACTACCAGATGCTGCCCGACACAGAGAGACCACCAGATTATTGGTCAGAAATAGGAAACTCTCTCAAATCGTGGTCTGCTGAACAAACAACCACCAAATCCTTGCTGGAAATGTCACTGCAACATTGGAACAGCAAGCAGATTGAATTTCTGATGCAGCACCACTACTGCAGTCTCACTGGAAAGGGTACTGATGGAATGTGAGGCTCACACGAGTAACTTCTAGCCTTCAAGATTTAGGGGTTTAAGATCGTGGGAAGTATCTTCTTCCTAAGTGGGTGGTGACAGAAATTTTGGAACTCTCAATCACTTCCGGTGAAACTATAGTTGATTCCGGCGAAGTCACAGTGACTTCCCGCGAAGACAAAATACCAACTCAGACATTGGCTCTGATACCATGTAAATTATAACTTATTGAGAATAACTTGCTTATTACTCAAAGAGAACAATGATATAAATACATGGAGAGAATAAGCTAACTATGGTAACTAAATATTCTAATCCCTAAGAATCAGCTCTATTATCTATCTATATTATTATACAGATTCTGTAACATATTGCAATCAACTTATGGTTATTAATTTATTTATTTTGCAAAACACAAATTTAAATCACTGAAATTACTTTACTGCAGGCCAAGAGGAAGCCTTTATCCTTTGAAGTCCCTGAATTTAACAATCAGCTTCTTCGGACCCCCGGTCCTTTACTTGGGCAGACTGAAAGCACAATGGAAAAGGAACAGCTGCTGTCACCAGAGTACTGGGATGAGCTGCTTCAAGCTTGTCAACCTGTAGACGATTTTCTAGTATTTAGAACTTTTGGTAATCGGAAGGACTCATCAACTTACTCTTTCCATGCTAATGATTCTGTAAAATCAGATAGAAGTGATGAGGAAAATGATGTGTACTTTGTTCCATCAAGCCTGATTGAAAGATGGGGAAGTGCCATGGGTATCCTTCTTCCTGTTGATTCCTACAGCTTCCTCTGTTTCTTATGTCATTTATCTCTCTCTCTCTCTCTCTCTCTCTGCTCGTCAATTGTTGTTGGGTTACATCCTTAAAAGATCACAGATATTGTTTATCCTCATTCAAAGCGTTGCTGTTGTTTTACAAAAAGCTATTACAGATACGTGAAGGGTACTGGCTCCCTGTTGGCAACTGTCCAGGTAAAGCTTTAAAGTATCATCATGATGTTAACGTTCTCCTTTGAATATGTTTGTTTTTTCAGTTGCCTTTATAATATAATATAACAATTAAGAAAGAGACTCTGTAGCTTTGAAAAGTTGGTTATAATCTTATTTGCTCTTTCGCTACTCCATGGGATTACCTTGATATTTCTTGTTGAAGGTTTCTGTAGAAATGGAGAAGGAAACCTTTTGGGAACTCTAAGAAACATAAGATATCATACATGCAACCATGCTTCTGCATACATGGAGGATAAGTTGATTATTATTTATCTTCATAACCCATTACAATAAGTAGTTCCACGGTCTTTATAATTTTACGAGAGTTTTTCCTTATCTATAATGCCTCTTTCTGTATTTAAATTAATTCAAACCCTCACTTGAGATTTTTGTTCTATGAGGCTCATGTGCGTCTTGTTCACACTGATCACATGGGCTCTCTTTTCTTGTTGTTATGGAGGTTTATCTCTCTTCCATCCCCCTCAGCAGTCAAATGTTCTTTTAGATGTTAGATATTGCAGTAACAGGAGCAGTTATAACTTATAACACCTAAGGATGTTCTAGCGGTCAATGAAAGTGGAATGAAGACTATAAGAGACGAGAAATTTTGACGCTTTCCCCCTCCTACCATCTAGCTGCAATCCTTCCCTTAACCCTAATCATGCTTAAGACATGGAATTGGATGCTTCTTACTCCAAAAGTCAATAAGTAGAAAAGTGAGGAAGGGTTTTTGGCTATGATAATACAACTAGCCATACTTGTGTGAGAATGGTCATTGCTTGTCAAGTGGCATTTATGGGGCCACAATAATGCATCATTCATGCATCTTTCCCTCTCTTTGCACACATCAGCCCCAGCGAATCCCCTACCCCTGCTAATTGAGGCATAAGGTATAGCACTAACTGTATCAAACGTACTAGCAATGACTTTTGAGGGCCCATCCATTCTTTTTCTTTCTTGTTCTTTCCCTCTGCTTGTCACATCACCCCTCTCTTCCCAGTATCCTCGTCCCATACTAACCATGTCACTGTTATCGATTGGATCTTCTGTGCTCCTTTATTAGTTGGGTGGAATTATTTAGATGAATGGATTATTAATTGAAGAAATAGAAGTGGAAGATGGATTGACTATTGTGCCCAATGAAGCCCAACTATGTACTGCTCTAAAACCTTATTAAAAAAAAAGTGTACTGCTCTAAGAACAAAAACCTTAGTAACTTAATTCCAACAAACAAACATCAATTAGAAGGATCTCTTACTCAAAAAAAAAAAAGAATGATTTTTACTCGGTTAAGATTTATTTTCTCTTATCCAATTTGTTCCAAAAATTTGTACAGTCATCCTTGGGAATATGTATGGGATAAAAAGTCAAATGTGGTAGAGAAGAAACTTGATAGCATTTAATTTGAATTCACTTGAATAACCGGGTCCAAGTGGGTATAACCCCTGTTGTCAAAGTAGAATAATGTACCAGGGCCATTGTGAATGGTGCTTGTTGTGGGGAGAGATATGTTGTTGTGCCAGCTTGGTTCAGGGTAACCTTTGTGGAAGGTTTTCTACCTAGAGGTTGTTGAGTGGATTTTGAGGTTTTTGTGCCTTACCGGTTCTGGAACTTCACCTAAATATGCTGATGGGTGAATGTGTATGGGAGGAGATGCTGTGAAGCATGCTTGGGAATTCAAAGAAATTGAAGATGGATTCTTCAATCTCACATGAATACCAAGAACAATTATGGGAAGCAATAAAAGGATAGGAAGATTAAGACAATTGTTAGGGTAAACACACACCTATGCAGTAATTACCTAGACATATGTAAATGCAATCAATAATTTTAAATCCAGGATAAGAAGAAAGAAAGGATTGTTCTAGAGTTGAAGTGCAATCAACTAACTCAAAGAAACAATGAAGGGAATTTAGTAACTAATAAGATTAATATTCAAATAAGATACAATCCTAAGGGAGAAGGGATATGACTCATACATGAATTACTAACTTGTAGTAATTTAAGAGTGGTTTAACTCCAACTTTCATACAGTAACCTAAACTCATCCTCCAAAAGTAATTGCCCTTTAAGAAGAGAGATCATATCCCACAATATGTATTTTTTTTTTCCTTGGAATAATGAACCCTAGTAGAAATAGGCTATTAGGTCGTTCTCTTTGAAAGGAGATTTATTTGGATGATGAGTTTAGGTTATTCTTTGAGAGTTAGGGATTTGTTCCATTCTTTTGAACCTCTCTTAAATTACTACAAGTTAGTAATTCATGTATGAGTTCATATCCCTTCTCCTTTGGATTGTGTCTCTTAGTTGAATGTTAATAATAAAACCTAGTTCTTTCTTCTCCTTTTGGACTTCTAATTATCTTGGACATTGTTCTCCACTCTTTAAGTATCCCCAATTCACAAATATTGTGTATTTTGAAGTTTGGAAAGAAGCCTACATTTCATGATGGCCACCTCATATCCCATAGGAGATATTTGGGATGGAGGGGTGATGGGACGAGAAGGGGGAAGAAGATAATGAAAGAAAGAGAAGCAGTAGGCAGGAGGGGGGTTGGGCTTGCTGGGCTGGTGTGTGAAGAGAGGGAGAAACGAATAATGCATTATTGTGGGCCCCACAAATGCCTCTGGCAAGCAATGACTACCCTCACACAAGTTTTACCTTGTATTTAACACAAAGTAAAGTGTCTCTGACCCAGGTTCAAATTCAGCAAAGGGTAAAGTTAATTTCTTCTCAAATTAAGTCTTGGTAGACAGAGTTATCCAATACATTTACTAGTGGAAGGATGCAGGTACTGATGTAATAGTTTTGGTAACTGGTATGCGCAAGTTGACCAGGAAAGCATCGTTATAAAAAAATAGTTATGGTCATTGATCTACTTGAAACATAATTTATTTACTTGTCAATTTTATTCTTTTTTACTTATGGTTGTATAATATGCACTGCCTGTTGGTTAATTCTAGATTTGCTTATGAAAGTAGGATTTTTTGACTTACTTTTTTCTGTGAAACTAATCTAGAAGACAAAATGACATCCCTCATTTAAAGGTGAAAAAGTGAAAGATTCGACACCGGGGTATGGCCTTTTTGCCTTGATGTCACCACCCCATGAGCATAGCCATGTTCTTGATTCGAAATTGGGGCGGAGGTTCATATCTTCCAAATGGAGGTATAAGTGATGAAGTTACTCGTGTCGTGCCGCGACGTTAAATTCCCTCCGTCTATCTTTACTTGTCCATGTTTAACTTGGCACACCCCTTAAGAAGCCATAAATGAAGTGGTAATTTTACTATATAACCTCTAATTATTGCAAGTCATCTCAGTCATTGGGAAATGAATTAGAAATAACTAGTACTTAATAATAAGGGTAAAATAGGTATAAAATGGCATATTATCTCCTGGGCTCCCAAACTGGACAAGTAATAGTGGACATCAATTTTTAGTATAATAGACAAGTAAAGATGGAGGGGGGAGTACTTAACTGCTCCATTTGATTAAGGCTGGTTTCTCTAGTTTCCAAGATGAAGTGTTGTGTATCTGAAAGTTATAGTTTTTTTCTTTGATTTTATGATTAATCAAAACGTTCTTCTGTTTTATTTAGTTTGATCTGGATAATTTATACTGATGTTGGATTATTCATTCTATTTTCTCCGTGTTATTAAAAGTCATTGGTTCATCACTTAAATCGATGTGACGTGAGGAGTTATTGCTTCATGGAGAAGCATGTGCTTTAGAGAAGTGTGTGCTTCAAACAATGATGTTAAAGTGATCCCAGTAAGAAGTAATCTCAACTTTGAGAATTTGGATTAGTAGTGGCTGTCACACTACAGCGGCATTATTGTATACTGGAGGCTAACATTAGTTATTTTAGATGTAATTTGGCTATTATGGTACTAAACTCTTATGTGTTTAGTAGTGTTTAATTTTTTAGAACTTGTACACTTGACTTCAAAGAAGCATGCACTTCACTTAACCCTCTTCAATCCTCACGCACCTTGTAATTTTTTTGTGCTTTTCACTTCTAAAAATATTGCTCTCCAATGATTTCATGGGGTGCCATTTCATAAATACAGGAAAGAACAGTGAATAGAACGCCTTCACTGCAGGGTCTGTCTCTTAGATACTTCACGCCTAGGGAGGTATTCAATTCTCTTCAGTTTTGTGAAATAGTTCTGTCTTCTTGCTTCTTTGCTTTCTTGGAAAATAAAGCAATATAGATTCAAGACATCTCACAGATCTTGATTGTAGGTTGCGAATTTGCATTCTTTTCCAGACGACTTCCAGTTTCCACAACACATCAGTCTTCGCCAATGGTACATCTTTTTCCCAGTACTTGTACTTCCTTATTAATGAATCATTTTTTTCTCAACTCCTGTGATTGTAGTTCAAATAGTTAGTGTGTAATTGTTGTTTTTTCTTCATAGAAACTGATGTTGCATAGGCCTTAAGGGAATTGCCGATCTTGTATTGATGTTTTAGAAAATTTTCCATGTTCCTGTCTTTCTACGGGCCATTTTGACTTTTCCTATTTTCGAAACAGTGTACCCCCTCCTCTTCATTTAATGTGGTGGTGTTTGACTGGGCACTGAGTTTTAGAAAGAAAGACATGTACATATCATCATCACCATTAGAACTTGTGATCTTAAACATGCAATGGCATTTTTATGGCGATAAGAACATATCATTAAGGGTGAAACATGAAGTTTAAAGTCAAAGAATTTCCAAATACAGAAAAGTGTCATTCATTTCAGAACTGACTATAATGGAAAGAGTGTCATTTAACACGAAAGAGGGTGTAAATCATGATTCTGATCCATTTCATTGTTTGAGTTGGATAGAAGGTGATTAGACCTTATCCTACAAATGCATATTGTCACAAGTGAACAATTAAATTAACAAACAAACGAGTACATTAATACGACACAAAATTGCCGGAGGTTGCCTTGTGAAATTACAGTTGTCACTTTAGTTAGCTTTAAAGCTATTCCCGCAAGAATGAGAGAGTTCGTCCTGGGATCCTGGATTTACTTAACGAGATTTGAGCAATTCTGTTCTGGGTTTCATAAAAGAATCGCGTGCTAACATATGTCTTTGGGTTTTTTGGTGCAGTTATGCAATGCTAGGAAATAGTTTAAGTGTGGGAGTGGTTGCTCCATTGCTTCAATATCTCTTCACCAACCCTTCATGATTATGCTATTACCTGAAGCTCCATCTTTACAAGTTTTACTGGATAAAAATTCACAGCCAACAGTTTTCCCCCTAAACCTGATGGTCTAGTAGACGGATGCACTAAAGAAAAGCAGTGCTGACACGATGATGCAGATTGCAGAAGAACAATCTGTTACAGCGTTTCTATGACTTGATCCAGGTGAGATGATTGCATTTTGACTTCAGTAAATCGTGTTAAAGAGAGAGATATGGGATACCCCTTCTGCATTCTGCTCATTGGCTGCATAGAATGGTTCTCAGCTGCACTCACAATATTTTGAAATGTATGCTCTTGGAGCCATTGCAAACCGCAAGAGGTGCTTGCCTAATTTCATCTCTAAGATCTATCAAAACATTTGAATTGAATAGGAGATTTCATTAATCCTCCTTGATTGAACAGGTTAAAATGATGTTTATTCAATATACTGTAACTTTAAAAGCTCTTAAGAAATCTATTGCATGCAAAAATTGTTTGTATAGAATTATTGCACTCAACAATTATATTTGATTTCGTCTTCTTTTTTTATTTTTGTAAATTTCTGATTTAATTAATCAGTTCAATATTAAAAGTTGTTGGAACAATAAGTTGAGCTTCAATTTGGATGAGATTTGAGTTGTGAAGTCATATCCAACATGGATGAACAATGAAGCTTTTGAGTTTTAATTTTTTAGTGGGTCGGGTTGGGAATTAAAAGAGTTTAAATGGGTCAGTAGATTTGATTGAAAAAAAATGTGTCACGTAGGCGGCATATAGGAAAATTAAGTTGGAACATGGAGATTTAACACAATAGAGGTAAATATGACTTGCGAGCAAATAGGATTCCCCCCCCCCCCCATAATTTTATGTAATAGAAGTAAAAATAATGATTTTTGCACGTTAAACTCAAAGCTAGATGACCACCGTTGAAATTTACCCAACTTTGGAGATTCTCTCGTATTTTCTTCAAGAAATTGAACACAATTTTGAGACACAAACTAATGTAATGATCAAAAGGGATCAAAAAGTTGCAGCAGCTCCTATAAATTTCCTTGCAAATGTCGTTACACTGCCATATAACATTGTAATAACCGTAAGATAAATGGCTCTACAAAACTTAAGCGTAGTGACCAATGACCTACAAATTATATTTAACTAATTATGACATAAATACTATAAGATTCACTATAGCTAGAATCAAAAAAACTTACAAGAAAACTACTCCATTGTAGAAAGACAGCTTGACGTGAGAATCAACTTTAATGTACTCTATATAATCCATTCACAATTCAAACAATGTAAATCAACGTTTCTCCTAATTAATCTCCTAACAAACCAACAAAACAAAATCAAGAAATATGAGTTTATCATCTCCACCAGCCTTTAACTTTTCTGTGCTCCCATCAAACTTGATCCCGGGGGACGCAAATCCTCCGTGGATGAGCAAAGGTGACAATGCATGGCAACTTGTAGCAGCCACCTTAGTGGGGCTACAAAGTGTACCAGGCCTTATAATACTCTATGGAGGAGCTGTCAAAAAAAAATGGGCAGTAAATTCAGCTTTCATGGTTTTATATGCCTTTGCTTGTGTACTACTATGTTGGGTTTGTTGGGGATATAGAATGTCATTTGGAGAAAAACTAATACCAATATGGGGTAAAGTAGACGTTGCGTTAGAACAAGATTACCTCTTCCAGAAAGCATTTCTGGGGATGTTTCCTAACGCGACTATGGTCTTTTTCCAGTTTGTATTCGCGGCTATCACTTTGGTTCTGATAGCGGGTGCATTGCTTGGAAGGATGAATTTTTATGCTTGGATGTTGTTTGTACCATTGTGGCTAACATTTTCTTATACTTTTGGTGCATATACTATTTGGTCTTCTAATGGTTGGTTGTCTGTTAATGGCATTATTGACTATTCTGGTGGATATGTCATTCATCTCTCTTCTGGTGTAGCTGGTTTTACTGCTGCTTATTGGGTAAGGACACAACATTTTTCCCAGTTTATCCTTACTAACACGTTCTTATAGCTATAGAATTGTTTGGATATGTTAAAGACCACAAGTTTTAAGAATACTTTTGGTGTGGTGTACTAATTACCTAACCAGATAAACTTGTACACTATCTTTATCAAACATAGTGAGAGTTCTAAAAAGATAACCAAACATAGTGATACAACAGTTCAGAAATTCTCTATGTATTAGTGATACAAGAGTTTCTGAAGTTCGCTCTGTATCACTGATACAACAATTCGCTATGTATTTGTTGTTGTATCAATGATATAGAGCAAATTTCAAAAACCCGTTGTGTCACTAATTGAGAGTGAAATTTGGAAACTGTTGTATTACTAAGACACAACAAATTTAAAAAATTGTTGTATTACTAATACAAAGCGACTTTCATAAGCTGTTGATACGTTGGTAATTGTCCAAACTAACACTATGTTTGATAATTAGACCTCAAACTATTGCTATTTCTAAAAAAAAAAACACTTTTTTTTTAAAAGTTGGCCGAATCAACACCATATAAAATGAAATAGACAGAAGGAATAACTGAACAAAGCTAAAGAAGAAAACAATGAGAAGGAAAAAACTATAGCTCTCTATTGAAGAGTAAACTTTCCTATGGTGCTCTTTTTGTGAAATATTATTGCAGGTGGGTCCAAGATCAACCAAGGACAGAGAGAGATTTCCACCAAATAACATACTTCTGATGTTGGCTGGGGCAGGACTCCTGTGGATGGGGTGGTCAGGGTTCAATGGAGGTGATCCATATGCAGCCAACATTGATGCATCCTTGGCTGTGTTAAACACACATGTTGCTGCTGCTACAAGCTTGTTAACATGGCTCATTCTTGATGTCATCTTCTTTGGAAAGCCTTCTGTTATTGGTGCTGTCCAAGGCATGATCACTGGCTTAGTTGCAATCACACCTGCTGCAGGTACCATAACAATTTTATCTTCACTTCCTTATTAGGGTCATTTCAGGCATTTTCTAATCACGAGCGTAAGTTAATGTATACTGACAGTGTATAAAACATATACATCTATAAAAGGATTCCATGCGTAGACGTGAAAGGTTAGATTAGACTGACATTCTTAGTCATTCTGCTTTAAAGAGTAGGGATTCCCTTAATCAATGAAAGGCACAAATAGGCCAGTGAATTTAAGACGAGTAGGCAAGCATGGGTTGTACTGGTCAACACTTTCATCTATCTACTGAACCAATTAATCTTCTCGGGGAATCAGACTAGGTTGTTCACTGTTCTACTAGGAGTTAACTGTCTATAACAAAATGATATAACCTAGAATATGAGTAAATAGCATGCTACAACATGTTAAATTATATTGATCGTGTTTGTGTATATAACTTAAACATGATATTTTTAGCCCTTATACATGTTGGTGTGTAGGTGTTGTACAAGGATGGGCAGCCATAGCCATAGGACTATGTTCAGGCTCAATTCCATGGTTCACAATGATGGTAGTCCACAAAAAGTCTGAGCTTCTTCAAAAAGTGGACGACACAATGGCTGTCTTCCACACCCATGCTGTGGCTGGATGCCTAGGAGGACTCCTCACGGGGCTCTTTGCTCACCCGAGACTATGTTACCTTTTCTATGGCTACTATAACAAATATTATGGCCTCTTCTATGGGCTTCACGACGGACAAGCCCACAAAGGACTCAGGCAAATGGGTCTCCAACTTATTGGGATTCTGTTCATCGTGGTGGTGAATGTTGTGATGACAAGCTTGATATGTTTGTTGGTGCAGCTCATTGTACCACTGAGAATGTCAGAGGAAGATATGGAAATTGGAGATGAAGCTGCACATGGTGAGGAAGCTTATGCTATTTGGGGACAAGGTGATAGGCTTGAGAAATCTGCAGGATTTTCTGATACTGCTGTTGGAGCTGCTAAGTCTAGTTTTAATACGTCTAGAAGTCAGGTCGAAATGGTCTAATTCAAAGTAACTTCGCGATATTGGTGATATACTAATGCATTTCTTGTGATGTGTGTTTTCTTAAATTCTGGACTAGTTTTCTTTTGTCATAAGGATATAACTGATCATGATGATGTTAAGTGATCAATTTGCACTAGCTGCAGGCTGTAAGAGTGCTTTTGGCATTCATTGAATGTATTTCCTGAGGAAGTGATAATAATTAATAAGAAATACAAGGTTTCATCTTCTTGTTATATAAGAATAGTGGCAAGGCATCAATTGGTTTGTTTGTTAGTTCACATATGTATGTTTTTGTTGCTTTTCTTCTTCCTGCAATTTTTCCAATATAAAGAAAGGTGAAAAGTTCACGAGGTAGGGGTATGGTCTGCGTACACTTTACCCTCCTTCTCAGACCCCACTTGTGGGATTTCACTGGATATATTGTTGTTGTTATCATAAAGAAAGGTGAAAAGTTCAAAAAAGGGGGTGACGCGTTGCATGCTCACTCCTCAAGAAGTTCATTCTAACTGTATTTTCTTGATTAAACTATGGACATAAAGACAACTATGCTTTCCACCAGATAAGTTGGAAGTTAAATGCAGTCGATCAACTTTGTCGAATTACACTAAATATGTTGTTATTGTTGTGGTTGTAACTAAGAAGACAAGAAAAGCAGGGGAAATAGGTGCTGCATGTAGATACTAGCTAGACATTTGCTGAGGTAGTGTAATAGAAGTCTATTGCTGCACTTTGCCAGTCCTATGACAGTACTAATACTACTTGAGGAATTAATATAGCAATAACCAAAATCCATTCTAACTAAATTCCAGTTAAATTCAGTCATATATAGAATATCATAAAGATGTAATCAAAGTTTGGTGTAAATATGAAGATGATTTAGGCCAATTTTTTTTAACATATCTAGAAAGATTTAGCAATGCTCTTAGACTTTTGTCTGCAAACTCATCATTCGCCTTGATAGGTAGCGTTAAAAGTCTCATCTCTCAGTGAGGCTTCTAGCTCTCCCAAATAAATGTCGGGATATATGTGAGCTTCTTTTTATAGGATCTTCGTTCAGTTAACATACCTTGTATCGTTCTGCACATTTGCA